GGGGTGGGGAGGGATACCATATTCTAAAGTCTGAGACATTCTAGTGGCTAAAGTCTGAAGCTTGTGGGACATAGCAATGATAACTATACAAACATTTTTAGGGAATCAAAGGTGGCATGGTGGTAAGGGTTTTCTTCAGGTACTCCAGTTTTCCTCCCTTCACAAAACCCAACCCGCTAAATTCTGATCTGATTTGTAAGTTAACCATGCCCTGACTCTTATCAGCCCAGAGGATGTTTCAGGGCATTGATAAAAATTTAAAGGGATATATCGGAAAGAAAATTGTGATTTCCAATAAATACATAGATTACACAAACCTGTTAGCTTTCCACATAGCTTCTATGACAGACATGAAGAAAAGTGCAATTTCCAAGTCTTCTGTCATCAATATTTGCATAAAACGTTTAGATTGCATTACTGTAATTAACAACAAAAGATATATTTCATTAGGTTAGAATTTTTCAAGCATGTGATATTAAATTCAAAGATAAGTCTGCATGCGGCTGAACGTAACTGTGGGTTAAGTCTGCCTGTATTAACCAGAGTTCAAGTCGGGCTGCACACAAGCTAATTCAACGTATGCTTTGGGGTGATATTTTCTATTTTAGCACCTCTTGAAGCAAGTGGCTCATGGGCTGTGTACAACATTTCTAATCCATTGACAACATCTCTAAAACCATCAAGAAAGAACTTCCTCTCTTCTGCCTGTAAAGAGATTAGAGTTGAACTTAAGTAAAACCCATGATTTTCAGAATGTTCAAGATTTCACATTTGATTAAAATCAAAACAATTGCCATTGTTTTTATTATCACAGACCAATCAAGACAGCAGTCACGGCAAGGAAATCAGGCAATATACTGCTATCAATCATTAAAAAAATTTCTGTACTTTATATACACATACTCTGATTGATGGCAGTGTATTGCCCAATTTCTCTGTCGCAACTGTTTTCTCAATCACCGCATAGCAATGAGTTGTATTTGTATTTATTTATACCAGAGTTGTATTTGAATAGTTTTGAAGCAATTTGGCAGCAATATTCAGCACATTCTCTAACACATCAGGTAAAAATGAAGTGTTGTAATCGGGTTCTTCAGGCAACTCTAAACCAGCACAGCACTGACACAGCAGGGTACTCAGACTTGCAGCAGTATTCCATTGACCAGGGATTGCTGTGAAGTCTTGCTTTAAGGCTTGAACAAAACAAAAAAACATAATTTCACCTCTAATTCACAGATGAAATTGGAATTCAGTGTCATTGTTGGTTTTGTGGAGGAAAGAAATATTTAAGCTCTTTTCAATATAAGCTTTAGAGATCACGTGTGAAGAGCATACAATTCATAATAGGTGCTTTTCACACTTCTTGAGAGCTTTTGGCACTTCCAAAGTGCTTTATTACTGAAAAGAGTATGGGAACAAGCTATTATGACTATTTCAAAAATTCATGAATAATCAATGAGTATTTAGACCTATCAGGTCCTTCAAATCCATCACGTGCATGGGTCTTTATACCTGATAATAGTTCAACATGGATATCTTTTTATAAAGATTTTGAAATCATTCTTTATAAAGGACCAAAAGAGTACAAGAGCATGTCACAAATAAGGACCCTAAATACTCATTAATTATTCATGAATTTTTGAAGTCCTTCAATAAACTTGAAAATCATGTTTTATCAGGCTGCATAATTCTTAAAAAAAGGGCTGCATAATTCTTGACACATGAATCAGAGCATGTACAGTACAATGAGGTTAACTATATAATAAAGTAAACTAAACCAAAAATGCCCACAACTTACCAAGGTTGGTAACATGAATTACATCATAATTCCAAAGGTAAATTCTTATGAGGGTAGAGAGTTCATGGTCAGATYGACAGCTGTCTAAAATGTCTATGAAAAGATTCAAAATACACATTGATGAAACTATATATTGAAGATCAGAGAAACAATAATAATGGCTGGACACTGTACAATGTCTGGCCACAACTGGGACTTGACCTGTCAAACCTTTGCCTTGCCAGTCATTTTAACCAGTAGCGTTGAGCCAGAAATGAGGTATGACTATATTCAGCAATCTATTTTTAGGTCCAGTTTGTGTGATCCTGGTTGGTCTGCCTGTGTTTTATTCAGCATGTGTGAGCATAGTTATGTCCTATCATTACCCTCTATCATCAAACCTTCTACACCCCTAATTATTCCCTCCTACCCTGCCCGCCTCCCCCCCNCCCCCCCCTGCGAAATGCTGTTTCCCAATATACAAAGAAAAAAGTTTGGACAAAGCCTGGAGCAGTTAACTTCTTAATTTTAAGGCTTAGTTTTACAAGATTATTGACTTTCTTTTTTCTACCTTGGAGGCCAAGCAGAAGAACGGGTACGTTACTGTCGTTTGTCTCTGCTACCTCAGCTGCTAAATGTAGAGCTCTTTCTTTAATTTCACTCGCATCAGTGTTACTTTCCATATTATTTAAAATCTACGGCATTTTGGTTTTGTTTGACAACCACACAACAGCTTACTTCCAAGGCAACGACGCCAGTGTGAGAAAAAGAGTACAAATCAATAAAAAACAGAGTGGCTTTGGTGTTTTGGTTTAGGAGCTTCAATTATTTACAAATGTGCGATATTTTAGCGACCACATTCTAAACAAATGATGTCAAATATTAAACGGTGATAAAAGATATGAAAACACAACGAGCCACCATTTTGAATTTAGATACATAACCGCTGACTTGCACAGAGTTAAACCATGTGACTTCAAAGACAGCCAATAAGGTTAGTCGTTATATAATCTCGTAAGTAAAGTAGCCAATCACAAACGYCAAAAGAAAATTTACAAGTGTGCAAAGATTTGGGCGGGAAGAAGTTGGCATCAAAGCGGCAAGGAAGACGTCCATATTTTAGATAATCTTTACTTTCAAAAGAACATTATTTCTTTACGTTTAAGATGGGAAAGAAAAAGGGAAAGACCGAAAATGCTAAACCAGAAGCTGAACCTGTTAGAGTTGAAGAAGAATTTGAAGAAGAAGAGGAATATGAGGTTGAAAAAGTCGTTGATAAGAGAAACGTAAACGGTCAAGTTCATTACTTACTCAAATGGAAGAACTATCCCGACAGTGACAATACATGGGAAGCCAGCGAAGGTTTGCAGTGTCCTGAACTCATAGCAGAGTTTGAAAAAAAAATGCAAGAGAAAAAGAAAAGTAAAGGGAGTTCTTCGAAGCGAAAGGAGAGTGGTCCAAGGTACGTGTTAATGCTTTACTATGTAGTTCGATAAGGTTGTCATGATTTAGTAATATTATTTGCAAATAGTGTAAGACTTGTTGACAATTGATCCTTGCAATTCTAAAACTACGCTAGCATGATAACTAGAATACGTATATACATGTAGTATGGATGGTTTTGTAGTTGTTCTATAGGGGTTTGTAACTGACAGATTCTTTAGATGCTTTATCACAACACGTGGGACTCAATTCGAATCTCATTTTGTTGAGCTTAATAAGATGACAATTTTTTAGTATTTGTTTTCATTTTAAAAGCATCCTGTTACAGTTTTTTTGGTACTTTACTAGAAAAAGACAAATGTAGCCTGTATTAAAAACGTCGTCGTGCAACATTGTCAGTAAACGTACTTTATTTGAATGAGACGTTTAATGAGTAATTTAAAACCACTTTACTGTTGCTTGCTGTCCAAAATTTCATTTTTTGACGATACAACAATTATTTAGAAGCCTAATCCCCTCTGTTCCTGTACATGATCATGATCAAGGTGCCTGTTACTTTATAGCCACCACTGGTTGAAGATARAGCATTCCTCATTAGATCCTCTTGTTAGACCAACCAACATGGTGGCTATTTCATTTTTATTTACATCAAGGGAATTTGAGTCATGTGGTTGCACCCCAAGAATTGATCATACATCTACTAAGAAACTACTGACTTCTCCTCCGTACCTGTATTCAGTAGGACAAAATACACCATGAGAATCCATTTGTTTATTAGCCAAGAATAAGTCTTTTTCCATGCACATTGTGCATAATGTTTTTAAACCATGAACCATTCCCTTGAGTATCATTTCTTTTTTTAATATTTGCACACAAGGAAGCATAACATGTGGATACAACTCAAGGATCTTATTTTCTAGAGAATAACATGTATAATATAGGTAAAATATTTTTTATTATTACCATGACGTTACATGTAGGCAAAGTCAAATTTTCATTGAAAATTCCTCATTTTGTCTTGACTATTCTTGATGGTAGAGGGATTAGCATTTTAAATAACTGATGCATATACTTGTAGTTCTCTATCTCTTGTTTGTGTGATAACCCATATGGGTCAAGGGTAGTACAGCTGTAGGCCTGATAGTACCCCAGCTGGCAATATAGTACAAATGTCTGTCATACATGTACTGTAGAACAGTAATTTTAGGCATAACATACAACAGGAATAGGGGTGGAACCTGGTGCAGGGTCCGAAATTAACTTTTTAGCTAAGTGGTCCTTTGGACAACCATGTTCTAATAATTCTTAGGCATCCAGAGCAAAACTTAGGAGTCCCACTTGGACGCCATTTTGTAGAGCCTGAATGACAATGGTCAGCGGTTAGCTATAATGCAGAAGATGCAATCAAATTTGTCAGCGGTATTCAGTGGCTTCCGATGAATGTGTTATCTCGAATTTTTGAAAGTTTATCAGTTGAAAAATGAACTTTCTAGGTTTTAAGCAGAAGAAATATAATTTAGAATCATATTCGGACTTTACAGACTCTTTTTTTTATTTTATAAAAGAAACACCTTGGCAAAGACGTAGGTCGTCAGAAGGACAACCACATTCCAAAATCTAGTCGTCATTTGCAAACTTTAGTCGTCTAATTTAGGACCCTGTGGTGTCCTATTGCTACACTATAAAAATGTCTGTTCCCAAGAGGATTCCAGACTGCATGTTTTATTTTCTGAAAAATTCCAACCATCAATTTATCCATCCAAAAGATAGTCGTTTGACTTGGCAAAAATTGTTAATTTTGTCTTAATTTTATAATTTTATTTATTGTATCAATCAATCAATCAATCTTTATTTTGTACCAAAATTGCAAAATTACATATAATAAACAACAAAAATACAGAAAGTTGGTACAAAATGACTCTACACTAATCATTGTTATCTGTAAAATATACAAAAATAAAAAGCTTACATTAATTCTTGTTTCATTTCCAGTGAAAAAGAAACAAAGACGAAGAAAAGAAAAGTTATCAATACAGGATCAGACACGGATCAAAATCTGGTTATGAAGGCAGTAGAGATCCAAGATGCAAAACTTGATCAGATTGACCCAATCTCTGAAGGATGGGAGGCAGATTCAATTCTTGGTGCTACTGAAGTTGACAGTCAAATTCACTTTTTGATTCAATGGTAAGTTTTCAAACACTGTAATATCCATGCAAAAGTTTATCAGGGCTGAAAATATTTTCCAGTTAATGAGCAATTTCCAGCCAACATTGGAACTTGTCTGGTCAATTCATTAATAGGCCAGTCCTATTTTGAAGGGAAGTTCATCTCTGTGTCCTGGCTTCCTTTAGCACTAAGGTGTAAACTATTATTTTCCACATTATTATATTATCYTGATCTATTTATTTGTATTCAGTTTAGTGTATTCATTGTGCTGTTAAATATGTCGCATTGACCGGTCACATTTTTACAGTCAACTTTCATTACAGAGTACACCCTTGGGACCGTCACAGCAAAGTGTTCGTAATATCAGGGTGTCCACAAGACAAGAGTTGACTGTATTTTGAACACTGGTTAATCATACATATATACAATCAGACATACACTTTTTTGATCCTAGTTGCACTTATTCATTTAGAAACAGACCTCTACGATAACCCAAAACTTTGTCATCGTATTCATTGGGTCCTATTTTGCTTCCCATTTGGACTGAACAGTGGTATTAGGTGATCCACACTTAAATGAAGAAGAAGCAAACCTTAACTAGGAATTTTTATTATTTAGTCAATTAAAATATTATTCCATCTTGTGCTCTTGGTGAATGAACCTTACTTTCATAGTCATGACAACTACTGTTTTTACAGTCCTTTTAGAGATATTACAGTACTTAGGCGTGTAATGAGTGTCTTTCACTAACAGTGACTATATTGGCTGGTGGCTAGCACTTGAAAACTTTTTGTTCATACGAAGTCTTTTATAATAATTTCAGTTTTACATTAAAGGCCAATTTTCCTATAGTGAAAATTATCAGCTGAAACTTTCCTGCCTACTGATACACAGCTTCTTGTCCTAATACAAAAATGTAGGGTAGAGTCACATGATATGTTAGTACAAGTACTTCCAAACTGGACACTGTTTTATTCTTCATTACTTTTAATTGATTTTTTAATTTTTTCAGGAGAAACACAGACAGAGCTGATTTAATTCCATCAAAAGTAGCAAACGTAAAATGGCCTCAGATAGTAATAAAGTTTTATGAAGAACGTGTAACCTGGACACAAGGTGAGAGTAATTCAAGCGAGACGGCATCAAACGAAGCCAAATAAACTGTACATATTTGTAATGTCCAAAAAAACTTTACCGATATTTTTTGCAAGTGAGAACTTTTCCTGGTGTATCAGAACCTCTACAACCATGCATAAATGTACTAACAGCATGTGTAAAAGTTTACAAATACTCTCCCTTTGATATTCCTTTTGGAAACGATATTTTGTCAATGCTAAACTYGTATAGACTCTATCGTACTTCTGCATTATATGTTTTCCAATTTTTAACAACTGATCACCATTGTAGGATCTTGCTTCCTTTGAGATTTTTAATCAACTCCAATAAGATTACCCACTCAGGACATCAAAATCTGAAAAATTGTCAAACTGTTGTAAGCAGCAGAACAGACATTTTGCATGCCTACATCAGAATGGCATTTTGTTGTACAGTGTATAAGCCATTTGGCCATTTTGTTCCAACCATTATTTGCTGAATAGACCTTTCCTAAGCACTTTTTGGCCAGGACTTTTTACTTTTTTTTAACACCTAAAGTTTTCAAAGGTAAGAAAATTTTGGCCAGCGAGGTAGCTGACTGTGGAAGGCATTCACTTATATCAGAAAACATTGTCGGTCGAAGATCTGAAATCTGAGACAGAGTATATATTCCATGCAGAACAATGTAGTTCCCTTTTAGATCAGTACAGTATATGAGGCATGATCTTTGAGTTAGGAATGTGTTTTCTTCTTTTGTATTTAAGCCAGAAGACATAAGACCACAAATAGTCTGTTTAGTCTCAGGTAACCCATTTCAGATCTCTGACCAACAACATTTTTCTAAATAAGTGTATGTGACAAGTGCCAGTCTTGGAAGCAGAATTGACACAATTTTGTGTTATAGTACAAAGAAAGAAAATACCATTTCTAGATGTTTTTTATTTTGTATTCTTTACATAATAGCAAGTTTTTTAAATGTGTGTGTTTATTGTGGCTAGTGTACATTGGCAGATTGTGCCGTAGTATATATATATAATGTTCATATTCCTGTTACTGTAGCAGTCCTTCATTCTGGACGCTCATCCATTTTTTTCCCCCTTTATTGATCCTACTATTTAATATAATTTCCTTGAGTAAAAGGCCTGTGGTATGTACAAAGAAAGAAGTTAAAAATTATGAACAATATCTCCCTAGCCTTCCCCTGTGAGCAGAGCTCACTTTGGCAGGGCTTAAAATAACAGCCAATCAGATTCCAGTCATGATCACAGGCAATATTAGCTCAGTCTTACCCCATATCTGGGTAACTGTTACTGGTCAAAATACTGTAACTGGAAAGTCAAAGATTTGACAGGAAAAGTTCCAGTTCAAGCCAGACATTGACTGATGTCTGTTGTTATTCTAAGCCCGGTCTGGAGGGTAATAAGAGATCTCCAACCCAGAAATATCTATATTTTACCCATTTACATAATGATTAGGCAACTCTCTGATCTACCTTGCTCTTGAGTTGCATTAGTGTGATTTTCCTTTGACCATAAAATACTTAGTAGACTAAATGGTTAATTACACAGTGCAATTTTCTCTGCAACCTGTCTCACAACGGCATTGCAACACAAGTTGCATGGAGCATTGCAGCATGTAACCTACAGTGCAATTTGAAAAAAATGTTGTTACAAGATCCAGCAATCGTTGCAAAATGTATGATTAATTTCTACTTTTGGCAATGATTGCGTCTCCCTTGCACTGCATAGACACTCTTGCAACTTGTATCACATTTTTTTCTTCTGTGTCTAATGGACAGTTAGACTAAATACAGTACTAGAAACTGTTTTGTGGTCTAAGCAAATCACTTAATGTAATTAACCAGAAAAAGCCAATTTTAAAACTCTGCAAGATAAAAAAATCACACCATTTTGTTTACATTTGATTTTAGTGTATCAATTTTAACAACGTACTAGTATTAGATATCCTTATTAATGTGAAAATAAAAGTATTATTTGTGGTTAAGCATTTGGAGTTTTTGCTCACACAATTATTGGACAGAATTTCGTGGAATATTCCCTTTTCTAATCCGGTAAATTTCACGGTGTTTCATGACTAAAGACCTCTACTCAGCCTTAGCCTCGCTTAAGAAAAAATCATTTGCAAATGTCAACTGTAATGTAAAGAATGTGCAGCTTGAACTATACCAATGTTTTGAAATCCCAAGGACTTTTAATGGTATTTGCGAAGAGCCGACCTGTGCAAATACGTCTGTGGTCTTAAAAACAGAGGTATGCATCAAATGGGAACTATATGGTGTTTTTTTGGTGGTTGACCTGTGAAATCGATAATATGATATCGTAAGAGCAATATTTTAGTCTGCAGCTGGTAGCTTTGCTTGTGTTATCTTTGCTTGTGGTAGGTTGTCTTCCTGTGTCTTGATGGCTTGGTGTTTGAGCACTTCCAGCAGTTGGATAGCATGTTTTCTTTTCAATCGTTTCGCCAATGACTCCATACGTTCGTTAAATTCTATGAGCATTACCTTCATTTCCGCTATAATTTTGTAGTTTACAGCTAAAAGTAAAATTGTTATGGATTAGACCTTTATAAATACCTCTTGTTTTATGAGGGTAGTTTGATAGCCTGTGGTGTCTCTCCRTAATCGAATCGGAATTTAGGAGTCGATTTTTGAGGAAGGAAAACTAGAGAATCCAGAGGAAAACCCTTGAAGCACAGGGGAAAACCAAGAAGTAACTTTAGTCACATACACTTACATTACACGAAGACCGGGAATCGAACCCTGGTTGCATTGTTGAGAGAAAAGTGCTCTAACCCCTATGGTACCCGTGGTTTGCAGGTCATGTGACTGTTAAAAAATCGTCATAATTTAAGGGCATGTCTAAAATCTTGGAAATGTTATTTTTTCCCTAATAGGATACTTCCAGTCTGGAGAAACTAAGCGTTTAAAATTTTTGTTTGGTCATGCCAGTCGAGAGACCTTCCCAAGTAGGCTAAATTGATTGGTTATCTGTTAAGGTGATCGATCGATCATGGATCAATGACGTGTCTGATGCAAAAGGACTATAGAGGTTTTGCAGCATCACGTGATGGCAGCTATTGCAAATTAAAGGCTGTATTGTTAGTAAATGGTGCAAGTATTTCTCACGGAGCACTAATAACATGGAATTATCGATTCGTACACAACAAAACAAAAATACAATACCATTGGAAATTTGGTTAGTTTTCTTCAAGATCATACTCCACAAGAATCCCAACACAATGGCTGAAGCCAGTAACACCACAAGATAGAATATAGTGTCGGCATACTCCTTAGAGGCACTGCCAACTAGATTAGATGTCAACTTGATTGCCAGGGGTACACTGTCAACCTAGTGGGATCATAGATTCAGTAACAAAGGGAAATTAGTTGAAGTGTCAATTGTAGGATACCTATCCTAGATAGGGTGGTAGTCGCAAATGAGGAACGTTTGGTCCTCTGTGTTAGACGAGACCACCATTTTACGTTGTTATCCGAGCCACGATGAAGATCTAACCATTTGCAGACATCTTACAGCAAAGGCACCACTTTCTACTCCGCTATTTCTAGACCATGAGTGTTGGTTCGGCGCGTGGCTTGAACCCACGGCTCCCATACAACAGCTTGGTGAAGCCAAGTAACTAATGAAATAATTTATCGAATTATCAATACCTACCTCCACCTTGTCCACATTTCTCTGGATGATACCAAAGACAGTAGCTCGATTAGACAGCATGTAGCTCGTAAAACATTTGGTAAGTCTCAGGGAATTTCCTCCCAGAACGGCGCCATAAGCGCTGGAGTAATCTAGAACCTTCATGATTCTTAACGATGGACGATCAAATAAGTCCTTTCTTCTACTTAGAACATATGTGTCGATCAAGGCTCCTTTTATTCGTCCTTCGAGTAAATCACTTGCTATTTCCTCGTAGCTTGTGTACTGTCGTTCTGRAAAAAAAGATAATGATGATGATGGACATGGTGGCGGATGGAGCCCGGGGGGGGACTCCGGGAAAAAAGTACCGGGGATGCTCGTCTTATCTCTTAGGGGTAAAAAATCGCGATTGGGTATCTTTTAGGGTTTTAAATGCGAATTTTTGAAAATCAGCATTTTCTGGTATCTCTTAGGGTGTCGGAAAAGGAGAGAAGCGTGCATCGATATGGCTTATCCTAGGCGCTTTAAATATAAAATTACGCCCTTTTTTTAAAGACTTCCGGTATCTTTTAGGGGTCTTTTTGAAAATTTCCGACGAGCATCCCCGGTACTTTTTTCCCGGAGTSCCCCCCCTCCGGGGGGTGGAGGTAAATGGAGATTGAAATACTTCGTCAGGAATCCCAGACCTCCTATATACCCTATATTTCCTATAATTTGTATAGGATCCTATAAAGAGCCTATATTTAAAGAAAACCTCCTATATTTCCTATATATAGGACGACTGCTGAGTGATACATTTGTAATACATTTATATTTTACACTGTTCAGCATATTTGTCGAAGGTAATAAAATGGTGCTCCATTTGTTTTTTGATAACTTTTGGGTTCTGCAAATCATTGCCTGTGCACTCTCCCTGCGCACTCTCCCTGCAAGATCCCTGGTTACGCCACTGAAAAGCTATTTTAGCTCATAAAGTACATACATTTTTTKGGGGGAAAATCCTATATTTTCCTATATTTAGTACTTGCACAGCCTATRTTTCCTTTCAGTTGTCTAAAAAGTGGCTGGGATGCCCGACTTCGTGGATATTAACAAAAATTGTGGGGGTATTTTCCCCTCCTTGGGGCGCTGATACTTACCTGTGTTTACTTTGGCGTTTTTGCGGATCCCCAACCTGTGTTCTGGGGAATCCTGAATCGCGCCAACCTAAAATGTAAAAGTATTACAATTTGGTCAGAAAATTAGATTAAAAATTATTTATTAACTCGCTTCTTTCTTAACTATAATTCTTTTTTTGCTTCGTATATTCCTTTCTTCGTTCCTTCTTCCCTTCTCCTTCGTTATTGATTACCCATCCATGCATTCTGCCCCACCTCGTGACAAATTACCTTGCAGCCGTACAACGATACTTGAGTGGAGAAAGAGACAGAAGTCAGAGAGTTTGTAAGTGACGCATTCAGCATGCTAAGCAGAATGATGCCCGTTAAACTCCAAACCACTGTGAATATTCTGGCACTGACTGACACTGGAAAACGATCACCATATCTGATGCCAAAGAGAACAATACACACATCAGTTCTTAGCGCAGTAAAAAACCGCGTGTAAGAACCTACATTTGTCACCCAAGTCTGGCAAAATAGGTTCTTGTATTTTGGGGTAATTATTAGCAATTTAGTAGGTTTTTAATTTCTCTGTTTCTATAATTTCTAGTTCATTAGCAGATACCCCTTACACAAACTGATTACAGAATGTATATGCATTGTTATCTCAACAACAAACAAACAAATAAAATAAGCACATATAAAAACCCTCTTTTACTCCGACGAAGGACTAGCGCCCCAAACGTCAGCAAGCTTTTTCATCTTTTCACGGTGTATAATTTACCCTTTTATCATTACTAAGATATAACTAGCTAAAAACATTACTTTTATCATTACTGTTTCATTAGAAACACCGACGCAGCTCACACTAGTTTTTAGCAAGTTATATATCTCCGCTCTATAAAAACCTGCTTGATCTTGCTTGGCTAAACAGGTTCTTATATTTTTGGTATTTAAATGGCAAATTTCTGCCAGCAGGTTTATAAACCACTAGGTTTTTACACTCGGGGTTTTTACTGTATATTTGCCTTCCCCTTCCCTTCTGACAGCAGCCGGGTCTGTAGACCCAATCAACTCACCCGACAGTGGTCATAGTAGTGAATGCCCACCATAATCCATTCCCTGTGCCTCGCAGAAATCCAGCTGGAAAATGTTCTGTGTTTATCGTAGAATCCTTTAACGTTAACGTTTTGTATCAGTTTTAGTTTTGGTGAGGTATAGGGGGATAGCTTCTCAGACTTATTTTACGTTGGCGTAAGACTTCTTCGTAAAAAAAACTCGTGGGAGAGACAAGAGGGGTCGACTTGATACTCACCACCTCTGGGCCGTGAGTGAAATCCCGGATATCGTCTTAAAATACTCATGCCTCAAAACTGTCAATTTGCAGAGGCGAATGCAATGTCTGTTTACATGCATGTGTGGTAAACAAGGTGTCGATATTGAGTTTCCGTAGTGATTAAACACATTTGTGTCTGGCCGAATAGTCACTAAGAATGCCCAGTAACCAGCATTTCAACGGAACGGTAGAGGGGGTTTTAATTGTACCCACCACCTAAATCAATAAAATTGGGAAGGAGTGTAGCGAGGATTTTCCAAAGGGGGAGGTAAATTCAAAAACCCCGAAACGCTGAACCAAAAGAAGAAGAAAAAATGGACCATTGTTTAAACTTGCCACCTAGCAAGGTACTGTTGAGAGAGATCACAAATACTACAGCAATAATGAATATTAGTAAGCGCGCCTTCGTTGGCAGTCCATGCAGAGTTGATCATCTAAACAAACAAAGCGTGCGAGTAATACCATCGCGGGTTTATTGAGTAACCGAACCTGCCATTATTTAATTTATATCATCATTCTAAAACTGTTTTCTTACCAAAAACCAGACAATTATTCCTGATAACCAGGTAAGGAGCATAAGAAAGGTTAACAAGGGCCAGCACTTGATTAAGGCATCCAGAACCATTGAATTGTTCTCCGCCTCGTCTGAAAAATGTACGATAAAAGTGACGCCGGGTGACTCAACTATAGGAGTAAAGCCATACTCTGCATTATACGTATCTTGATCCATGTAACCATATATTGGGAAACTCATATCGGATGAATGAGAAATGCTCATTTTTAAAGATACGTCTCCTGTAATGTTAGACGAGGTTTGATAATCAATGAACGACGCGCCATGGGCCTTGCATGTCTTGCAGCATGAAAACACGAGGTTTTCCAGTATTTCTGGGATGATACCGGAGCTGTTTCCTGAATGAATGTTCGCGTATGGAATTTGTGTCATCCAGTTGGTTGAAAGACGTTTGTCGCAACGACATGTTTCTAAAAGATATWAAAAATGCTTTGATTAAGCCCCCAAAAAGCCCAATGTCATACTTTTGATAAGAATATATCAACCAGGAACAGACCATTTAATTTCCATTTATTTATGAAATTTTAAAACGAAAATCCACATCAAGATAATTCAAAGACCCTATGCGACCGACAATCCTGTGCGACAAGGCTTTCCCGCCAAAACGCGCACGCCTTCGATCATTTAGGTATTCTCTTGCCATGTGTGCCGTTATTAACCAATCACGTATTCGATGGCTGGAAAAATAAATCACGTGCGTCATTGCGCATGTCTGGTAATGTGTTGTTGTTGCCATGCAGTACTAAACCCATAAAATAGTTAGCATACCAAAAGTGGTTAGTGTAGATGTTAATTCTATCGTTTTCCTTTGTGTGTATTTGACAATTAACACATTACAGTGAAATCAGTCTGTCAGTCATTTTCGCTAAACTACCTGCGAATGTTACTGCTTCTGGTCCTTTACCACCACGTGTGAACCCAGCAACTGTTATCCTATACTTGGTATAGCTATCAAGACCCGATAACTGGTACTGAGTTTGATTCGAAGGCGTTAGAATCTCGTTCACTTTAGTATCATCTACATCCTCTTCTCCAGCCTTGACTGCCTGGTATGTTAGCAAGTATCCTCGTATTTCACCAAGGGCATGTTCACGTGCAAGTGGCAGCCATGTTACTGGGATTGTATTCGTTGTAGTCCAGTTTTCTGCAGTTAGGTTATCTGGTTTCTTGTATGGAACTGGTTTCGAAATGAAAGGAAAACGTTATCCAGAAAAACTGAAGCGGTTTTTGAGAGGGACTACAGTGTAACTCGAGTTGCATGGTTTAAATGAATGCCTTAATTTATGAGCAACCATGACCATGGTCGTTCATTTACAAAAACAATAAATACGTTAGTAAATATTGATTGCAATCTATTGACTAACCGGGTTTAGTCTGGGATAGGGTGTACAATTCTTAGTTTTAGTCTGGGGTAGGGTATGTGAAATGAAAATTTTAGGTCTGGGATAGGGTCAGGGTTTTGAGGTCCAGGCGGCACACCCTTTTTTCCTATACCAAAGGGGGTTTTCAAATTTAAAGTTATTAAATAAATGTTGAAGTTGTGCATTCTTTACTTCTACCGCATTTTAAAATACTTTTTTCTTAAACTGCTGGACAAAAAGAGTTTCGATTAAGCAAAATTCCCTTGCCAGCCAGAACGTCTTTATCTTCCTTACCTCCCACACCAGTGAACATCCTAAGCGTTGTAACCGGACCAAAACCCTTGTCATTGTAAGCAGAAATGTTGAAAGAATACTGCGTTTCGTAAGAGAGACCACTGAAGTCCTGAGATAAAATATGTTCTGGTAGAAAAACTGAAGCGAAAATGCTGCCTCCTGTGATGTTGTAGGTCAGTTTGTAGCCGCGAATGATCCCTCCACGATATTCTAGAGGAATTCTTTGCCACTGAGCCATTAAGGTAGTCAAGGATAGAGATACGATAGAGAAACCAGGTGGAGCAATCAGGGGAACTGTAAATACACGAAAATACAAACTAAAAACAGCAATACAAATTTTCAGTTTTAGTAAGCAGGTAAAGCCCACTTACCTCACAAGTTTATGGACGCCGCGCAGACCTAAAACAGCCTATGGGCTGATCAAAGTCAGGGCACGGCACGATCCCGAAACCCAAGAAGTGAAAGGCGAGTGTACTACCAAGCCACCCTTGATTCCAAATCTATCTAATGTTTTCCCATTTGAGACCATGTGTTATTCTCTTGAGTATTTGAGGATTTTCTACAGGTTTTTTTGCATGTTTGACAGTTTTTCAAATGATATGTTATTAATATGTATATTAATTCTCAAGATAACGACACGTGGTCTGAAGTGTAGAAACATCTATCAGGACCCGTTGTACGAAGGGTGGACAAAGCGCCAAGGATAAATCTTACGGCAGTGGATAAATCAATTGGATAACGGCAACGACTTATCCAGTGAATGAGATTTGTGCGTCAGATAGCACCATCCAACCTTCGTACATCGGGCCCAGGTGTCCAAAGTAAAGAGGTCCGAAATATGGATGCCTTCACATTGATACTTTTTCATCTTCTAACGACGTTTTTCCTCGTTCTTAAGGGGGTGGGGCGAACGGAACAGATTCAAATTCATCTAATTGGGAATACATTACTTCAGTATGTATAGACTAAGGAAGGTAGCGTTAAGTAATCGTTTCTTACCACTCTCATCAGTAGTCACCACTATAGACGCGTTCTCCTTTGATTCTCGCCCGTTGTAAACCAACACTGTGATCGTGTAATTTGTGTACGGCTGCAAACCAAACAGCGTCACGTTGGACGACACATTAAAATTTACGGTAACATTGACTGCTGTACTCGGACGATATGGAGGAGCATAATACACACGGTATTCCTTCAAGACTCCTGGGACCTGCGMGGGATGTACTGGGTCCCATTGGACGAAGATTGACGTAGCACTTGTATTGTAACCATGGAGACCAGAAACAGTGATGTTTGGAGCTGTAAATCAGGAAAATCATAACTGTTTTAWCMAAAACAAACAAACAACAACAAAAACAAGACAAAAACAATCAAAAAACAAATAGATGGTACTATGCTTGACATACAAACCTTCACACTTGGTTGCCACGGAGACAGCTTCACTCCGTTTCCCATAAGCAACAAGTGAAAATACACGCACTATGAAGATAAAGTCGGTACACGACTTGAGATTTTCTACTGTAACAGACGTGATGTTGCCTGTCAAATCTTTTGTGTAGAATTCACTACCATTAGTAGATCCAATCACTTGATAACCCTGGAAGTTTCCCAGCGTTCTCGCATTTTCATTGGCTGCTGACCAGCTTAACGTCAAAGACGTCTCTTGGGTGTCTTCTATTTTGACTTGTACGGATTCGTTATACACTGTTAGAACAAGTAGAACTATTAAAAGGATATCTGGAAGATTCCACAGGGAATGTAAGATGGTTTATCACAATTGTCTTACCATGGTACCGTCATGATGACGTCAAGTTGACGTCACGGCACGACGCAGAACAGCACAGCATAGTGCGTTTTTTTGCGTCGACATTGGTTTTGAGAAACTCATTAATATCGGATATTGTTGGGTTTACTTCAAGTCATTCTCAATAGCGCATGCGGGATCTTACTTTTTGCCGTCCAAACAAAATATGCTTTGGGTGGACGTCAATCAAAGTGTTTTAATGACCTCGTCAGAGAACACAAGGGCGCATGCCTATATATAGTCATTGAAACGCTTTGATTGAAGTCCACCAAACCTACTTTGTCACGACGATGATTTCCCGCGTGCTATCGATCTGAGAAGGACTTGTTTCTTTCTTTGCGTCATCTGTCAGCCTAGCTTACCATTATCGATATACATAGCAAGGTTGTCCACAAGAAGATTACCCAGACGGCCTGTTTGTTGGACTGTATTGTAAAGCAGTTCAGGCAGATCGTAGATGGCATCCAAATAGATAATGCTTAGATTAGCGTAGACGCTTCCTTGCCTGTGTGTAATACAGTTATAGTAAAATCATTGAATTGACTTGAAAAATCGAATTTAAAAATCATTGAACTAAAAATCAGTGAACGAACGAACGAACGAACGAACGAACGAACGAACGAACGAACTTGGAGACAATTATTTTAAAAACTAGATATATCTATATTCCAAATTGAATGACCAGATCAGATACTAACCATATCCGTTGCACTGAAATTGCCTTGACTTTTGATCTGCTTCCGTGTGCTGAATAAATCTGTAATGCCTTTGGAAAAACGAATCAATAAAAAACGATTAATCTATAGTGACATAACGCGGATTGAAAAACTACTCGACGTGTCTCAATAAACCGTATCACTTATACCCATGTCAGACAAGGTGACATTCTCTTAATTATTATAAGACTCGAGCAAAGCTTAGGCATGACAGTGATAATTCAAAGATCCCAATCACATGGACGTCAATCAAGGCGTTTCTATGACATTCTTGGGCACGTGTGCCGCTAAAAATTCTTTCGCATTTTTTTTGCAGCGTTGCGCAACATTAAGGTCTACTTTTCACAACAATTGCGATAATACCGACTGTTTCAAAATGACCATTTGTTGTGACAATAAYATTTCATCGCTCGTAAGTTATTTATTATCCCAGACCATTACAGTGTAATGTGTGACAAGTTGCGCATGCGTGAAGCACTGACTAGTGTAACATACTTTGTCGGTGCAACTGCAACGCATTTTTATATTGCGTGATAAAAGTGCCAAGGAACATTGCCTGGTGTCACATAATCTCAATCATTATCTAATCACCCCGGCATGGGTAAATAAGTGCTTTGTTACGTACATTATCTTGAATGGAGTTCTTTATCTTTTGGTAATCACTGTTTTCCTTGTCGTTAATGGTATCGTTCCAAGAATAAGAAGTCAAACGAAATACAAAGAAGACCTCCATTGCTTTGTTATCTGTGGAAATACCGACCAAAAATACGAAATGGTTCATTAACTTTCCTCTGCTCTGCTTTTCCTCTCTTTTCCTCTCTTCTCCTCTAACTCCCTCTATCCTCTTGTAACGGCCTCTTCCAGTTCTTTTTCTCGATTTTTCCCAACCTCCTCTTCATCCCTTTTCCCGAAAATCCGACTTCTTACCTTTAAAGTTATAAAAATTGTAGTTCTCCCTCACTTTGGAAGCATTGAGTACAGAATACCAGACAATCAGCTCGTCGAATTTAGCGTTCCCCGCCAAAGAAACTCGCGACGAGGCTGGTCGAGTGACAGTGGACGAGATACAATTCTGTGTAACGATAGCTTCTTGTCCATTYACGTACACCAGAACCTCAAAGGTGTTATTAAGTGTGATGGTATAATGATTCCAGTATAATTTGGAGCTAGTAAATCTATAAGCACATTTGACATGAAGTGTTGTTATATTYAAACAAAGGTCATCAGTGTCCACGCCCATACAAACACCCAAGCTCAAGCCATAACCTTCATCTCCACTTGTAAACAAGACACCCTTAGATTGATTGTCATACATCATCCAAAGAGATATAGTCAGGCCATCTGTGCAATTATCTATCAAGGCTAAGCATGTGTKGTTTACGCCTAGGTCGATGAGTGAAGTAGGGTCTCGTAACTGTACACCTCGTGATAATACTCCATCAGTATGATTGGTTGTATTTTCTGGTGTGGAATACCACGCTTGTCCCTTCATATCAATAACTTGACCGTCAAGAGGCCAGTAAAACATTGCGTCTTTTACGTGCTGGGATAATTGGTTGTCTACGGGAAAGAAAGAAAAGAAAGTAAAAAAAAAAAAAAATTCCGTCATTTTTGTTTTGTTTTGTACCCTGACAAGATGGCCGTATCGTCAAAGTAGTCCATTGCAATTGCGTGCGAGTTGAGTACACTTTTTGCCTTGGGCGTAAYATTAGGTCCCGTCCACACGTATCCGGAAATTTTTGTATCCGCAAATCCGAAAACGGTCTCCAGAGTGGAAAAAACGATTCGAAAACGATTCGAATACGCTGCGTGTGGACGCGAACATTTTCGTTTCCGCAAAAAAAAATTTGCGGATACAAAATTTCCGGATACGTGTGGACGGGGCCTTAGTGCTTCTCCTTTGGCTTCTAAAATTAGATTCTTTATTTGAGTTATATCCGTAAGCCGGCCATTTGTTTTYTCATACACAATTGTTTTAAAAACGAAGACTAATAATAGTCAAGGGAATGACACATGGTCTGGAATGGGAAAAAACGCCCAAGCATATAGGGACTATATTAACTTAATGTCCTTAGCAGTAGCCACATCCACCCAACAGTTGGGTCTCTATTTTCAAAAAACTGAGTTCATTTACCATTTTCACACATTCTATTCCATGGTATACTTTTGTCACATACACATTTTCCAGTATATTCATCGCACGTGTTGTACAACTCACACGTTGCTGAACATGCTGAATCTAAATCAATAACARTCAGGTTAATAGATTAATAGGTGCGCAACACATGTGCAACAGTCAGAGAGATGGTGCAAGTTCGTTGTAACGGATATATTTTGGAAGGGGGGGTGGGGGAAGGGGGTTCAAGGGTGACGTAGCGGTAATAGTACTCTCGCCTGTCGCCTCTCTGGGGTCTCAAGTGATTCTGGGTTCGACATTACATGTGACTAGACTTGCTTGGGTCCCAGTCCTTTATGATTCGAGTTTTTGCTCCGTGTTCTGACGYTTTTCTCTCTCAGCAATTAATCTGTGAGYTAGYCATGCCCTGACTTTGATCAGCACAGAGAATGTTTGGAGTTTGAATCGCATTTTCAACCCCCTGGGTAGATTATATCCTGTTGCCTACCCATGAACTTATTTTTCATGCACCAAGAATTATGCACCGACAGACACTGAATGTATGTCTTCTCGCCTTCTTACCCTTCAAATGCAGGACTTCAACTTCATCAGCAAACKTTGTACCATTTTCTGTTATTCGTAAACCGTTGTTAATACTCCCAGGGGCAAACATCTTAAATGGACTTGCCTTTACGATCCTCATGTTTTGGGTTAAAGTGAGTTCAGAGTCTCCAAAAGTCGGTCCTTGCGTTGCCGATAGGAAGTGTGCAAAAGTGTAGTTATGTCGTATCTTGTACTGTGTATGA